GCCCCCTCGAGCGACGCTGCTTCGAAGCGTGGAAACCGAGCGCGTTCTCAAAGGCCCCCTATGCAATACCAATGCAATGACGACGCATCGAAGGTCGGAAGAACGCGAGTCGCGCGACGCGGCGCGGCGCGCCACGCGGCGCGGAGCGGCGCGCCGTGCTGCCGCGCGGCGCGGGCGGGCCCGCAGGTTCGCAAGCTGGCCGGACAACCCCCAAGAGAGAGGCGCCGCAGACCCGGGCTATCTCTGCTCGCGGCGTCCGACAGCAAGCGCAACAAAGTGCGCAATGGCGTTTCCAGTCGTCAAGCAGCAACGCACCGCGAAACTAAACTTCATATGTTCTGTCGCAAAAATAAGAAGCCCACGAGCCGCCTTGGGCGCCCTACAGACTGACGGCCCCCTTGCCGTAGCTACGCCGATCCACCGCCGCGCGGCGCTGTCTTCACCTGAAACGAAGATCCACCCTCTCCTCTTGCTCGCGGGCCTCAGGGAGACTTTTGTTTTGTTTTTCCCCCCCCCGGGGCGGCAGCGGCTGCTGCCCGGGGGGGGGGGCGGGCGACGGCGACGGCGGCCGCGGCGCGCGCCCGCCAGGGTGCGTCCGCGCCATCGGCGCATCAATTGCCCGCGCGCGCTGCAACCCCTGCGCGCGCGACAGCGCCGCGTGCGCTCGCGCCAGACAACACCGCCTGAGCCCACCACGTCGCCCACCCACGCCGCAGAGTCTGCGCGCTGCAGCAACCGCGTGCGCAACGGCGCTTGCGTGCACCACATTGCCCGCGTGCGACAGAGCGCTTGCGCACACCTCAGCGCCGGCGTGCACCGCGGCAACCGCGTGCACCGCAACGCTCGCGCGCGCCGCACTGCTTCCGCGCACCGCAACGCCTGTCTACCAAAGAAATGCCAGCGGGCACATCCGGAGCTTGCGAAGCCTTCTTTGCGGGGCCCGCCACAGACCGCGGAAGCCTTCACCACGTCGCCCGCGCGCGCAGAAGCACTTGCATCGATGGCGCGCAAGCTGCTGGGCTGGCACTCTGCGAAGTCTGAGCAAGACCATCCGTAGCTTGCTCCGAACAAGACGGCCAGGAGGAGATGGGAAGATATTGGGGAGGGGGGCCCGCCCACCACCCCCAACAAAACACAATCGTCAGCGATGCCGGGGGGGGGGGCCCGGGCGACAAGTGTTTCCCGCCAGAGGCCCCCCCCCCCCCAAGAAAAAAAAAAAAAAAAACGCTCTCTGGCGCGCGCCTCTGCAACTGCAAGCCAAGCCTCGATATCCTGTTTCCGCTCGGTTGAGTCGCTCGTTTCGACGTCGGTGCTCAGCGGCTCCGGTTACTCGCGTTCTGTTCGCGTCGCTATCCACCCAGGCCAAGCGGGGCGAGCTCTTGCTGCCCCAGCTCGCGACGATGCCGAAGCAGGACTGGGCGCGCGAACGGGCTGCGTCGCCTGATCAGTTGCCTCCGCCAACGCCTCCCCGTAGCTTTCCTGGCCAACGTCGGCCGACCAGATGCATCGAGCTGCCCCTTAGTCCCCCTTCGCTTCCGAAGCGCTCTAGGGGGCCACCTCTGGCCGCCCTCCTCGCTGCATCGCCCGTCGAGCGCACTGGGCGCGCTGGCCGCGACTTCCACCCCTGAGCTTCGCGCAAGGAGCGTTTGCCGCCGACCGCGCGCTGCCCCCCGCGACCTGCTCAACCGTAACACCAACGGTCCTTGTAACGTATGGCGAAACATCGTCCGACTAGACTTGCGGCTCCGAATCGCGGACAATCGGTGGCTGGCCCCTCAAAGCGGGCTGCGTGCTCTCTGCCCTTCTGACTGTTTGGAGATAGTTCCAACCGTGCTGCGCCCATCCATTACCCCTGTCGGTCGCACTTGAACTGGTTCCTCCTGCCTGTCAGCTCAAACGGCCAGCGGGATCACGATGGCCACGGGCAGGTTTGCTGGCCTGACAGCACCCCGCCATCGGAAACGCCAACAGGAGTACCAGACGCAGACCCGCCGTGAACCAGCAAAACGCGCTGCGGTGACCCAGGGGCGAGCTGCGCACCCTCTGCCCCTGGGGGGATATGACGGATACAGCTGCCCCCCCCCCCCCACCCATTGCCCAGTCATTGCGGAGTTCTCCCTCTCGCTGAGATCCTCACGTTCGCCGTAACTGCTCCGCTGTTCCCCCCGGAATCCTCTCTTTCTCGTCCTGGGAATGGTCCAGGGATCGTGCTGCCCATTCTTGCATGCGCTCACGTACTGGATTCTTCAGGTCCTCCGCCATCGCCCGGCATGTCAGTCCCGTCCGCGCGGCCTGCCGCACCGCCAAAACCAATTCGAGCGTTGATCGGCGCAGCCTCCATTGCACCGTGGCGCTCTGGGATGCGTTCCCTTTGCCACAATCCGCTTGAGCGTTCCTCGCGCCGCTGCTCCGCTCTTGTTGTTTAGCACCTGCTGGGAAGTGTTTGCCGCCGGACCCAGCAAGCTTGCGCCCTGCGCCTTCTCGCGCTCCAACGCTCGCCCCCTGGAGCTCCAAGCGCGCCCCACATGTCTGAAACCATCTGTGTCGACCCTCCGCTGGACATGGGGCACCAAGTTCTGGACTTCAAAGACTGGTTGCGACGTGTGTGTCTGTGTGTGTCTGTGTGTGTGTCTGTGTGTGTGTCTGTGTCTGTGTGTGTCTGTGTCTGTGTGTGTCTGTGTCTGTGTGTGTGTGTGTCTGTGTGTGTGTCTGTGTGTCTGTGTGTCTGTGTGTGTGTGTCTGTGTGTGTGTGTCTGTGTGTGTCTGTGTGTGTGTCTGTGTGTGTGTCTGTGTGTGTGTGTGTCTGTGTGTGTGTGTCTGTGTGTGTGTCTGTGTGTGTGTGTGTCTGTGTGCGTGTCTG